CCTCTAGGTTTGCGGAGACTGGTATTGTTGAAAGCAAAATCAGAAATAGATTGTGAAACCAAATACATTCAAAACCTAAGCACATGGCCCTAGACACATGGCCCCAGACCTTTTGCGAGAAATAGTCTGCCTATCCAACAAGGATTTCAGACCTCCTGGGCTATTCTAGCAAACTCTGTTATTGAGACCCTTTGTGATTATAACTGCCGGGTGCCAGACTGTATTTCTACTGGTCTAACTTGGAATTGGAAAGGGACGGTCTTGATTACTTCCCAAAGTGTTATATCGTCTTCTATACGAATAACGAATTCCGGTTAAGTGCTTTGTTCAACCAAGGCCATAATGTGGCTCGTGTTTTTCGCTTCAAACAGTGCGAGCGACTATCAATATTACAGCTGTCTTTTGCATCTTCTCCGACCATACATCTATTGATGTTTGCAATACTCATAAAACTGCAGGAGGTCGGGGGGTGGGGGGGGTGATGATGCCTGGTACGAGCTTAGTTTATTGCGGATTCGATCAGTAACGTTGGTATTTTAGGAAACGGGATGGGAACTTTCTAATACCATGTGCAACAATACTTTACTTGTGATTTGCCGTTAGGTGATACCGGCTTTGACGTTACGGAAAGGACAGACCTATTGTGATCATGGAACCAAACGAGGATAGTGGGTGATAAAGCAAAATACAGAGTGTATCACTGATATCTCCAGGAGGTGTTGTATATGAAACATGCTGCTGGAGGCCACCACACACTCTTGGAGGTTTCATTAGACATGATAAACACACAAATGAAGATAAGTTTGATGGCTTGAGGTATATCGGGAGCTCTAACACGGGAAGAAAATGTGTAAATAATAGGGACATCAAGTATATGGATATTCACAGTAAGCTGTACTGTAAATTAGATAGTAAGCTTGTATGCAGGCAGTTACCTCAGCAGTTTAAGCCAGGGCAGAAGGTCAATCAAACAGAACGAATATTTGAGGGAATATGGTTGAATAAGATGACATGGCTATATTGGAATGGATTATATCGTTAAAAGTGATTATAACGGTAGATGAAGCCGTAATGGTGGCGATATATTAGATGTAATGTTCACATAGTAAGCTGCATAGTAAGCTGCATAGTAAGTTGCATAGTAAGTTGCATAGTAAACTACATAGTGAGTTACATAGTAAGCTACATAGTGAGTTACATAGTAAGCTACATAGTGAGTTACATAGTAAGCTTATATGCAGGCACTTACCTCAGCAGTTTAACCCAGGGCAGAAGGTGTATCAAAGTGAATGGATATTTGAGAAAACAAGATCAGATAAAATGGATACGATTTACTAAAGTAGAGAGAATTGTATGATATAGAAATATTGGTGAACGAAGCAATGTTGGTGGAGATACACTAGGTGTAATATTGACATAGTAGACTACATAGTAGGCTGGATAGTAAGTTAGTAGTGAGCTGTATAGTAAGTTAGTAGTGAGCTGTATAGTATGTTGTATAGTGAGGTGCATAGTGAGGTGCTTAGTAAGCTGCATAGTAAATTACATAGAGAGCTGCATACTAAGCTATATAGGGAACTGCATAGTAAGATATATATAGAGGCTATATGCAGACAGCTGGCTCAGTGGTTTCACGTGGAGAATAGAGTGGGTCAAACTGTAAGAATATATAAGCTAATAAGGTCAAATAAGTTTGCGAGGATAGTTTCAAGAGGGTATATTATAATAGATAAGTATAAGGGCAGACAAAGCAATAATGGTGGAGATACACTAGGTGCAATGTTTACATAGTAAGCTGCATCGTATATGGGTATATAGGTATACATATATGTAGATAAATATATATACAGGTATACATATATGTAGATAAATATATATACAGGTATATATGCACAAATATAAATATATACAAATATATACGAATACATACAAATATATGTATTCGACAAGATATTTATACACTGATACTTTTCAAAATATGGAAAAGTAGATACCCATCAGAAGTTAGGTAAGACATAAAGTACAATGTATCATTCGAAAGACAAACATGAGGAGACTTCATATAAATAGGTTTCAAAGTGGTAGATAGAGTAAGCTTGGATATAAATAGTAAAGATGAACAAGATAAGAGAACAGATTTAAGACAGTAATGGAGAAGGGGATGGAAAGAGGGGGATG